AAATATATATATATATTTATTTATTTATTATTAGAATATAATTTTTATTTTTTAAAATATATATTTTTATAAATAAAAAGATATATGTGTATAAAATGGTAGTGGGGGGCACGTGCCGCCACACTCCTTCAAGTGAATCCGTCACTGCCGAGCGCGAGCTGACTGCACTGGGCGTGAATGTGTTTGATTTAAAATGATGCTTATGCATGTTAAAGTTGAAGATTTGATCATGTATGTATGATATATGATGTATGGTGGTGTATGATTCATATATATGCTAGGTAATGATATGTATGAATGTTCAAATATGATATGACATGAGTATATGTTCATATGAGTCTAATTATTGATCATGATGGTAGATTGACCATGTATGATGTATGATGCATTATTGCATGTGATGCCTTATAGCATGTGTCTAGCCTAGGACTTGAGGAGATAAAAATATTTTTGAACTGGAAGAGCTCACATAGAGTCTCTTGAAAGTGGTGCTTGGATATGCTACTGATATAAATGAGAGTAGTGCTTAGATAGGGTACTGGTTTTGGGTGAGAGTGGTGCTCAGGTAGGCCATTGGTTTGGGTGAGTCTCTTCTAAGTCCTTAGCTAGTGTTGGAGCAGAGTATGAGGTCGAGGGTTATTTCCTTAACCAAGTACTGGGGAAGGTGTGTGGTTCCTTGCGGATAGTCGGTGGGCGAACTTCACAAGTGACTTGGTAATGCATGCCAAGGTCGTGGTAAGCCTGTACCTAGTTGTGCTATACCTGACGGTGGAATCGGACTTCCAATTGTGTAAGTAACATCATCCGAGTAAACCCGAGTGAGGATTTATATCCTGTTTAACTGTGACTGAGCGGGCGCATTGGGTGTGAAAACGGTTGGAGTGGTTTCGGTAGGATTGGGATGTCACTTATACTGCTACCCTGTTAGGGAGATCTCCTAGGTATATGCGTGATAACGCATTAGATGATTGATATGCATTGATATCTGTGATGAGTTCCATGTATTGCATGATTGCTATGATGATGAAGTGCACGGTATTTGACTTCATGATTGATGAATTGATGAATGATTGAGATGGAAGTTCCTTTGGGACTTGATTTGTATGCATGTGTAGTAGTATAGATTTTATTATGTACTTGTATGGTTGCTTTTTGAACTGTAGCTTACCCTTCTGTTTTCATGTTGATGGACTACGATGATCATATCGTGTATGGGAGCAAATCAGGGTTAGGTTGGAACTGTTTGTTGTGACCGCTGGAAGACGAGGAGTTTTGTCCTTATGTTCGAGTTACCATTTTGGATAACTATTTTGTCTGTACTTGACCGACACTAGGAGGTTATTATTTTGGGATGACTTACTATATTTATACACTTGATGAGGTGTTTAGTTTTAATATGCTTTAAGGATATCACGCATATCAAATTTTAAATAAATTAGTTATTTATAATTTTTTTAATCTTAAAGTTACTCTTTCTGTCCCATTGTACATGGTTTAAAGTTTTTCTCGCATATCAAATTTAAAATAAATTAGCTATTTATAATTTTATTAATCTTAAAGTTACTATTTCCGTCCCATTGTACATGGTTTAAAATTTCTCTCTTAGATATTTATGATATTAGTATGAAATATCTGAAATGAGAATTTGAACATTTGACAACTTAGTTAAAGATACCAGCTATGTTATCACTTATGTCAATCAATATTAATAGTTTAAGATTTTCTACACACAAATTAAGGATAACAATAAATTTATTACTTTTATATAATTTTATTTTACTAAAATAACCTATTCTCTCAATAAAATTACTTTTGATTAAAGTAGTTGAATAATTTATAATAATAAATTAAAAATAAGTAATTAATATTAAATTGAAAAGTAAAATAATTATTAATTTTAAGACATTTTTAAATGTTAAAACTACAGTTATATTAGAGGACAAAAGAAAATAACATTTATTTATAATTTAAAAAATATGTTATGCATTAAATTGAATTTATTTAATAAAATATTAAATATTTTTAAAAAAATTATAAACTTATTTATTCATTAAATTTCTAATTTAATGATTAAATTATTAATATATATATATATATATGTATATATGTAATAACTATATAGGTAAGTTGATTCTTTTTCTCAATTTGTCAAAGTGTATTTTGCTAAAATTTGAGTAACTTGACAAAATATTATTTTTGGGGATTTAATTCAAATACATATCAATATAAATGATTTTACACAACATTTAATTATAAACTACTATATTTAATAAAAGTATTATCTTTTTTTATGACTACTTAAAAAATATATCTATAGAAAAATAAGTCAATGCATTGATAAGAAAGATATAAATAAGAACAAGGCTTTTAATTAATGCAATCAATGAAAAAGATTAAATAATGAATATACAAGCATATATCATAATGACGGTTACATTTCCTTCGATGTTTCACGCGAAACAATCAATCATAGTTTCTCTATACCTCCTATATAGTATACGCATCCTCAGAAAATGGTGCATTTCCTTTGCATTCTGTAGTTTTTATTTCATTGAAAACTTCACTCGCTGAGTCACTCCTCTCAGTCCTCTGTGGCATTGCTTCTTCTCAACTATGAACGCTCTAGCAGCCACCAACCGCAACTTTCAACGTGCAGCTCGCATTCTCGGCTTGGATTCCAAGCTCGAGAAGAGTCTCCTCATACCCTTCAGAGAAATCAAAGTATTCATCTTTCCAACCACCCCTTTTCTGGGTTTCAATCCGTTTCCACTCTTTTGGCTTCAATTTTCTTTGCATGGCTTTTCTCTCTCACCATCATGAAAAAGTGTTGATCTTTTCTCTTATTTGTGGGGTGTGTTGAAAAGGGGTTTCTCTGATGTTTGTGTCTGATTGGCAGGTTGAATGTACGATCCCGAAAGATGATGGAACTCTGGTTTCCTATGTCGGTTTCAGGATCCAACATGATAATGCTCGTGGTCCTATGAAGGGAGGAATTCGCTATCATCCTGAGGTTCTCGTTTTGTTCTTTTGATTCTTTTTGTTTTCTCATCAATACACATGGATTTGGAATTTGAGTTTAGTTTCAATTGAATTGTCTCTGTTTGAAAATTTCTGTGATTGGACTCATGACACTGTGTGATACTATAGCTTTCGTGCGTGCAATTTGATAAACCATGTTTTGTAAAACAAAATTTTGATAGAACCCCGATTCATTAAATGAGGGTAGAGCGCAGTTCTACAATCATTGGTGGCGAATTATTGGAGAAAAAAAAATTCAGATTGTTTTTTGGGGTTATGGGAATGAGACACTGGTTTGCAGGTGTACTTGTACATGATGCACTTCCAGGAGCCAAATTGGAAAACTGCAGGGAAGTTCTATTTGGCGATAAGTTTATTTATTTTAGTACATACTGGTCAATCTGTTAAAAAATGTGATTACTTGGTTACAAAACTTGTGCTGAACTGCTTATCATTTTTATAACTATCATTTCTGAAAAATTAGGACTACATCTGCCTACGACCGTAACCTTAAAGTGATATCATCTGATGTGAGTTTCAAAATTAGGACCACGTTATGTGATCCGGTTGCAATGGCTACATCTGCCTACGACAACTGTAACCTTAATTTAAATTCTATGATTTTTACTCATTTTGTTGTGTGTGGTTTTATTTGATGCGCAAATATTAATTTTTGTACCTTTATGCTATGATGTTTGCTCATTTTGTTGTGTCGTGGTTTTATTTGATGCGTGAATATTAATTTTTGTACCTGTATGCTTCCTTTATTTGTCTCATAATGAAATTCCAAAAATGCGTTTCGAATGATACCTTCGTATTTAAGTCTGCTGAGTTCATTCAAATGCTGAATCCAATCAATCATAAGATACACACTGCATTTTCCTTTATGTGATCATATCATCACACAATATTATGAACTATTTTCAGCTTTTAGAAGTAAGAAGAGGCTTAGGATTTTGATTATCTGACAATGTGTTTTTCTAACCTTGGCCTTGTTTTCATCTGTATGCTTCTTGAGTTGTGGTAAACTCATAATGAAATTCCATAAACACCTTTGAATTTTTACCTTCCTATTGTGGTCCTCTGAATCCAATCATGAGATACATGCTGCATTTTCCTTTTCGTTTTGTTACTTACCTGAGTATATTTAATATTATAGCTATATTTGAGATGCTTTTCTTCCCATCAGAGTCAGCAGATTTTTAGGAATACTAAATAAACCCAGTGACCAACCATACAAGTTATGCATTAGGGTAACTGTATCACAGTGATTCAACTTTAATGTTAATGTAGACATTGCTTACCTAAAAGAGATGTTAATCTACACAGTTCTTCTAATGACAATTTATACATTTTGGCACTTTTAAGTTTCAGTTATGAATGTTATCAATATATATTCTTTATACTATTTTTGAATATCAAACTGTCAAATGTTGTGATGCCAGGTTGACCCAGATGAAGTGAATGCTCTAGCTCAGCTGATGACCTGGAAGACAGCTGTAGCTGACATTCCCTATGGAGGAGCAAAAGGTGGAATCGGCTGCAACCCGAGGGATCTGAGTATCAGTGAGTTAGAACGTCTAACTCGGGTTTTCACCCAAAAGATACATGATCTCATTGGCATTCAGAGGGATGTTCCCGCACCTGATATGGGAACTAATGCACAGGTTCTGATTTCACAACATAGTACTTTTGTTTCCATTTTTTTTTTTTATAAATACTAACATTCAATAGTTTCATATATTCTCCTCATTGGTCCACTATTTCACAGACCATGGCATGGATTCTCGACGAGTATTCCAAATTTCATGGGCATTCACCTGCAGTCGTGACAGGGAAGCCTATTGTAAGTATCAAATACACACATACCCTAAAGAGACCACAAAATCTTCTGTTCTCGTGTATATTAACGATTAGGAAATTGGTTTTTGAATGTTTTTTCCTGTAGGATCTTGGAGGTTCATTGGGGAGGGAGGCTGCCACAGGGCTCGGAGTGGTTTTTGCAACTGAGGCTTTATTTGCTGAATATGGGAAGTCAATTTCTGATCACAAATTTGTCATCCAGGTATTCCTTCACCGCCATGAAAGTGTGATATAGTATATTCATATTAATCCCACTTTCAACATATATTTGATTCTAATCACACTATTCAGGGCTTTGGAAACGTGGGCACATGGGCTGCTAAGTCCATTTTTGAGAGAGGAGGAAAGGTGATTGCTGTGAGTGACGTCAGTGGTGCTATCAAAAACCTAAATGGAATTGACATCCACGCCCTTCTGAAACACAAGGAGGACAATGGAGTCTTGACAGACTTCCCAGGTGCAGAAGGGATGGATCCAAATGAATTGCTGGTTCATGAATGCGATGTCCTTATCCCTTGTGCCTTGGGTGGAGTTCTGAACAAGTATGCTGGTCTATGTCACCTTAAACTCAAATCATCAGTGTTAAAAGTGTGTGTTTGTTTTTGCTTATTCCTGCTTTCCAATGCACATTCAATGCCAATGCTTCTCTTGCACTGGATTGACATTGAATGTTAGCCAATGGGGTTTCAAACACCAAAAGTGATTCTAGTTTTCTCTTGATCATGCACACTAAAATTAAAACAGAATCCTCCTTATTTAGTTTTTATCTTTCCCATTGTTTTTATATGTTTAACTTAAAACTTTGGTTCTGAAGAACTACAACGTAATTTTGGTATATCATTTTTGAAGGGAAAATGCTGCTGATGTGAAGGCAAAATTTATAATAGAAGCAGCAAATCACCCCACTGACCCTGATGCGGATGAGGCAAGTATACTGACTTGCGGTTATGCTATCTCTTGTGATATATATATCCTGAACTTATATTGATTTCCTTTTGCAGATTTTGTCCAAGAAAGGAGTCATTATATTACCTGATATTTATGCCAATGCTGGTGGAGTGACTGTGAGCTACTTTGAATGGGTTCAGGTAAATGGGATCAACATAAACACTCAAATCCTATCTTGAAAACCATGCTTAAGTCCCTCTCTCTTAATGCTAAATCTCCCCCTGGCTCTATGGTGCTTGCAGAATATTCAAGGTTTCATGTGGGATGAAGAAAAAGTGAACCATGAGCTGAAGAAGTACATGACCAGAGCTTTCCAGGACATCAAGGCAATGTGTAAAATTCATAACTGTGACTTGCGAATGGGAGCCTTCACTCTAGGAGTGAACCGTGTTGCCCGTGCTACCCTTTTGAGGGGTTGGGAAGCTTAAGGAGCTACTTTCGTTGGTTCCTGTTATTTATCTACCAGATGAACCATTGCTTAGTCTTGCAACTGATAAAGTAGGATTTTACATGGCTGTGGTTTTCTTACTTTGTTATCGTAGTGCTAGTCGAGCAATTTAGTGTAGTCATGCGAAACTTGCCAATAATACTTTATTCTCGCCATTGGGTCCTGGGAATAATATAAAACTACAGCCAGATTTGTTTAGAAAGTGTTGATGCATCGTAGTTCTTGTAACAAAGTAACTACGTGTTTCCGTTATATTTTTATTTTCAAATCTTAGTCATGGCCACACGTGATTGACGAAAAGTTAACATACTTTCCTGACAGAAGAGGGAGAATTACCAAAGGTTTTTAGTCATCATTAATAAAAATAGGTAATAACAACAACGTCCAACTATGAGGAGTGTAGATAAAAGATAAAACTTAGGTACATTTTTTTTAGGTGTGATTCATATTATTTTTCAATCAGAATTAAAGTTTATTCAGGAGTCAAAAACATCCACATTTTCTAGTCCTCATTCTGAGCTCCCACCACTTTTCTGGGTAAGACACTGAACCTGATACATAGGATTTAAGGCCATATCGCTCTCTGTATGGAAGTATGGAAAAAACTTGGGAATACTCCTTCGTTATCTCCATTGAGAGTGATGGATGATTGGCGCTGAGAGGACCACTCTAACATCAAAAGACAATGGTACATTGTTCTTATCTCGTGTTCCAATTCCTTGAAATTTATTTAGTTTCCATTAGATGTTTGGCATTTTATTTTATAATCTTACAATTGCAATCACCCCTTGAACGAGCTGAATGCTATTGATGGCAATTCAAATGTGGGCAACTGTTTCTACACTCCTTCGGAGGAATGATGCGTTTGACAAGTTCAAATCAGTTATCACAAACGAGATTGAGACCAGGAGCCAACGAAAGATCAAAAATAGAAAATGGAAAAAAAAATGGTATAAACTAAAAATAGAGTTGCTACCGCCTACCAAAGTGTAATTATTTTGGAAAATGATTAAAAAAAATCCTTTTCCAATTTTTAAGAAAAACAGAAATTTGGATTGGGACTAGAGAATGTTATATTTGTCAAATTGACTGTAAGACCCAGTTAAGGACTACTTAAATTAACAAAACAATTTCAGACTCTCGTGAAAAATCCTTCATTGCAAACACACACACACACCCGAGAGAACGAATTGAAATACAATGTCTAATTCATATCCATGTCTTGTTTTGTTCTAACAAGATTAAAAGTGAACTGTATTAAGAGACAGAAAAGGGGAGGAAGAACTACAAAACAGCAATTCCATTACTCATTTTTGGAAGTGCTAGAATTCTCATCCTGCCAAGTTGCTTGCCATTGTTTGTCATATAATGTGGTCTCGTCAAATAGCTTCTTAAGGTTGTCAAGGTCCTCGTTCTTTCGGATAAGAAGTACTCCCGCCACTGCAACGAACAGCAGGGTTTTGCAAAAGAAGTTGCTCATTTGATCAACTAGACCTACTCCTGTCAAGCTATCAACGAAATACGCCATAAAGAACCCTATCATTGCGGCTCGCCCTGCATGATACTCAAAATAAGAAAAATGTCACGCAATGGAGGTTTTTATTTTTTATGTCTCTTATCGAGATTAAGTCCTTTAAAATCTGTTTGGATACAAGTTATAAGTACTTTTGAGATTTTTTTACAAAAAAAAACCTCCTTATTTTCAGTAGAAAAGTTTTTATAAGATTTTTTATAAGCTATTCTAAGCTTGTATCTAACAGAAACTTTTATTCTCAGGTTTCATTCTGGAATGCAAACCAAAACTGACCATTGAGCAGTTCAGCTTCAGGGAGATGGAACCTCTTCATCCATGCCCACCAAGGTATGATGGAGGTGTCAAAAACTACAGGACTTTCGTTGCTGGATGATTCTGGGTTATCCTCAAGCCATTTTCTCCTCCTAGCCTCTGAAAATAATTACACACTTGGATGAAGTAAAGTTTGAAGTATTTTGAGAAAACAAAAAAAATGTAACCAACGAAATATGAATCCAATCCTTCACCAACTATGTCTTACCCCTCCATCAAATAAAGGAAAAAATCGAATTATAAAATAAACCCATGCACAGTCAACTAGAACATAGGAATGACATTGTTAACAGATGCACTTATTCCATATTAAATTGGATAGGTCGCAAATTGTGGAGAAGATAGTACCAAGAAAAAGGGAAGAAAACCAAACACAAACCCCATGCCGAGCTTAAATTTCAAAAATATCCAAACCAGAAAAAAAATATAAAAAAAAATCATAACCTACATCAACGCAATTTATAGCATTGAGCAACCATTGATCAAGCAAAGAGGTCATTTAAGTTAAAATTACTTCATGGGGAAAATTTTAGGCTGCATCAATCACATGCTTTGGCATAAACCGCATCAAAATTGTGCAGCCATAGATGGAACTTCATCATCGCCGAGAATGATTAGAAAACAAAAACAAAATTAAAAATCAAAAATCAAACGACCCTACAATAGATGAGCTAAAAAAATAAAAACTTTCCTCGGCTAAGCTTCAATTCAAAGCAAAAAAATAAAGAAAACGAAAAGCAAGGGACAACGTTACGTTACCAGCATCAATAACAGCATCCCAATCAGTGGTGCCATTTTTCTTAAACTGCTTCAAGTCCCATGTTCCTCCAACCCACCTCGGATCCACGAAGCCACTAAGAACCTTCACTTCCTCAGTCAGAGCCGCAGCAGCCCCATTGGTCCCCACAGAGGCATCCTCGAGCGGCGGGGAAGGCTCCGGCACGGCCTGCTCCGGCGGCGGTTCCACGGCGGTCCCGAGGCCGTTCTCAGCGGCGGCCTTCAAGGGAGAGAAAGCAAGGGTCTTGGGGCGGAGAGAGAAGAAGAGGTTGGTCTTGTTGAGGCGGGGTTTGGAGTGGGAGGAAGGAGCGGTGGCGGAGAGGTGAGTGGGGGGAGAGAACGAGGCCATGGTGGTTGACATGGTTCGCACTTGCATTAACTTGGTTGGGGGTTGCAGAGTTCAGAACATGGTGGTTGTGGTGAGTTAATGGTTTCTATTTCTGGGGCTGTGGCTATCCTCAGCACAACACAAGCGAAATGGAAAGGGAAAAAAGGTATACCACTATACCATACTCTTGTGGCTTCGCAACTCGTTTGTCGTTTCTTGGCCTTCATCAATTCCTTATCCAATCATCTGTTACTATGCAAATCTATGGATTACACCATCTTTCAACTTACAAGATGGCCCATGACTTGGAGGAACGCTAACATAATGGCCCATCAATTCAATTGCTTCCTTTTTCTCTTCAGTCCTAGACTCTAGTGTGGCAACTTAGGAATGCTCGGGTAGTGTCTCATTTCTAATTCTAATTACACTACTGATTAGTAATGTCTGTCGGAATCTGTTTTCGTTTAGCTTAATGCATATACAATAAGTACAAAATACTCCGTGGGTGATTGTTTTATTGATAACACATATTTCGTATTTTTATTTTTTCAAATTGGAAATCAAACACACTTTTAGAATATGTAAATATATTTGTTGGACACTTATTTATATTGTGTCCACCGACCGATCTTATAAATCTATTGGACACCTTAATTTTTAATAGAGATAATCCATTGTTATAACTTGATTTTATCACAATTTTTTTTACATAAATTTTAATGTCCTTTGTTATCATCGTTTATAAAGTTATAAGCATTTTTCTTTTGTTCTCACATACTTTTTCGTGTTTATTCAAATTATTTGCTTCTAAATTCTTACATTTTATTTTTAATGCACAACCCTTTTCATTTAATTTTTTGTGTAGAAGATACTTCTTTCTCAAATTGATTTTCATCATTAATAACACATGATAATTGTAATTGAGGAAATGAACTTCTAACTGCTTCATTCAATAAATGTATATATATATACTTGTCCAATAAGTCATAATTGTCCAACTAGATATTCTCATTTAAGCATTTAATTATCAACTATAGTATACAATACAAGTTATGTGTATTCCAATATCTTCGAGATTTGGAAAATGTAGGTATATGGTGCACTTCTAGCTTGGAAAGGAGCAATAAGAAGTGTTAAGGTTTTAGTAGTTTAATGAGAATCTCAATTAGCTGAGTTAAGCTTAAGACCGAAAGAAAATGGAAAATTTTAGCTTGCAACTTCCCCTTACAACGAGAAAATTAATGTCCTCATGATTATTTTTCTCATGAAAAATAGCATTGATTGCAATGTGGTGTGTTTATTGAATGTCACATTGTAATGAGGTTGGTGAAACAATAGAAACATGAAATAGGTAAACGAGCCACTATAATACGCGGATAGTAAAGCAAGTGTGTGATACCTAGCTTTGCAAGATGAATCAAATATAATATTTTACTTCTTAGACTGTCAATGTAATCAAATAATCACCATAAAAGATGCAAAACCAATCACAATTTTCCTTGTGTTAGTGTAAGAAGGCCTAATGGAAAACACTAAAATATTTACTTATAGGGAAAAGGAAGCATGAAATATACCATGATTAAGAACTTTTATTCTTGTAAATAAGAATTCAAGTAGAAGCTTGCAAATGGTAATTAGTGGGATCAATTATGTATTGACTCGATTTTTGAGCAACAAAAATAAAATCAAGACATGTAGTGGTCATCAAGTATAAAATTTTGCCTGCAAGACACCTATAACTAGCAACATCAGTTAATTGTTCCCCTTGGTAATACATAATTTATTGGACTTAATCAAAGGAACAAGTGTCGGTTTAACAACCAAATATCTACAAGAAAATCCAAAGCATACTTGCACCGGAAAAGATAAATCCTTAGATTAATTGAGCCACTTTGAATGTCTCGTCGTAATATGTGCATTTATTGACAAAAACATGTTTCACATTAATACATAATATTATTAAATATCAAAAGGTGAGTCAAATTATCATATAAAATTCTAAAGTAGCGGAATAAAATGATCAAACTAGAAAATCCTTATGCATCTAAGAAAAAAAAATTATATTTTTAGTATAAATTTTCACTTTTACATTACGTTATTGGAGTCTTTCTTCTCAAGTTTTACGTGAAAATCCGTGCATGCATTTAACAGGTAGTAAATCTTGGAACTTTTTCCTTTTACGTGAAAATTCTCTAGTTTCACTTTTAAGCTCCTTCATGCAGTTACGTTAGGACCTTTCCGCTCAACACACCTTGAGACAAGATAACTATGTTGCATACTGGTTAGCTAAAGAAGAAGCTAACTCTTCTTCCTCTTTTTTGTTTTTAGATGTGTTCTCACCAATTCTCAGACCTTCTATTCTAGCAGATGCTAGGTACCTTGTTCATAAACTTTAATTTTTCTCTGTATCATATTTTCTTTACGTTTCATACTAATAAAAAAGGGAATAAAATATATTCTAAAATAATATTTTCTCAAATACTATAAATTGAGGATTCAAACTCAATGATTAAAAGAAGAAAAAAAAACAATGAAAAAACTTTGAACATTCAACATATTAAATTTATCGAATACTTTCATTATTTGTTATACACTTGTTCTTAAACTAAAAAAAAAAAATACAAGTTGTTGTGTACTTGTGCTTAAATCTTCTAAGTAAACTATTGTGCTTTATTATTTTTTTACATTTGTGTTATAAGTAGTCTTTGATTGAGATTAGTGTAATAGCCTAAAGAAACTATTTAAAATACTTGATTTTAACAAGTTGTTATGGTGAAAATTTTTCAAGTAGTAGGGATTGAACATAACCCTTATTGAACTTGTATATGTCTCTTATGTGCTCTTCTTCATCTTATCCTATTTACATTTTGAAATAATTTTTTTCTCCAATAATCAAATATGTTTTTAGAACATTCAACATATTTATAATTTTGATGATAATAAAGTAAAATGAAATTTGATGGACTAATATCTCCATATGTAAAGGTACTATGCATCTAAGGATCCTAACAATAACTCATTCAAAATTCAAATATAGGCATTTGAATGATAGTTTGCCATTAATATCTCACATTTATTGTATTATTTTCTTATTTGTATAAAATCTTTATTTGTGTAAAAGTGTAGTATCTTATCAAAGTGCATTATCACCAAGATATTGTAAAAAGAAAAGACATATAAAGGGAATGTTTAGACATAGCAAGACAAGAATCAGTGATGGTCAACCCATTTTGAAACAAACTTAAACTTACGCTAACAAAGCTGCATTTTTAATTGAATCAAATTAAGTACATGTGTGTTTTATGTAAGAAGTAACTTTTTCTTTAAAGACGAAGTTAGAACAAATACTTTGAAGACCTCACTCTCTCAACAAATATCTTGAAGAGGTTATAAACACAACACTTTATGAATAACTTTTGTAAGGATTCTTACAAACTCAGTCATGCCAAAATTATTATATTGCTTTGAACTTTCTTTCTTCTTGTAATATCTAATTTATCGTGTACTAGATGAATATTATATAAGTTCACTAAACTTATCATTGCCTTAGTAAGTTATAATACTTTGAGCCAAAACTTACATATCCTCTTTGGGAGAATTATCCTTATGGACACCAATATTTCATATTATTAAGCTTGAAGAAGAATGTTGTAATGAATACTTGTAAAAAATTATTTACAATTGATGTTAGTAGTGACACACTACAAAAAATGTTCCATATAGTGACATACAAAAAGTGTCTCTATAGGTATAATATATGTAGGTATATACCTATTTGACATATAGCTACATACAATTTTAGTGTTGATTTTGAATGAGATTTAACAACATATTTTGTGTATCACTATAGCCTATACCTACACTCTTTAACAATATACCAACATATATTATATTTATCGTGTGGGTAAAAGTAGTTTTTAGTGACATGTATTGTGTCACTATAGGGTGTGTGTCACTATACGACAATTTTCTTGTAGTGACATAAAGAATATTGTGTAGTTAGAAGTGACAATGAAAACATTGTGTAATTATTTGTAGTTAGTGGAACTCTTCTAGTTTAAAGGTAACTAGATGTAACTCAGTTTGAGTGAAGTAATATAAAATTGACTTTTGTTCCTGTCTCTATGCCCTTAATGTTTTATGGATGAAACATTTTACGAACTTATATTTGTTATCTTCATCCTTTACCAAAAAAGTTTGTAAAAGCTCTCTCACACACATTCAATCCCTTTTAGTGTGTTTATTCCCTTTAACTTTTGACACGCTTTAAAAAAATATTTTATGAAAAAAATTTCAAAGTTACATTTACACTCAATTCAACCTTCTTCTTGTGTGTAACATTTTTTTTATTTCAATCCACTCTATACTTAATTATGAAGAGTCATTTGCAACCCATGATTTTTATCTCAAAGTGATAAATGAATGTGATTCCAAGTGTGGTTGTCCTTAAGCACTTGTAATTCAATCATCACTTTGAACCAACATTAAAATTAAGTACATTCAACATAGTGATAAGTTTAGTGTGTGGAAAAATAGAGAAGACAAAATGTTTGTAAGTGGAGGAGAGATTGTCATATGATATAATTAAATGAAGATACAAATACAAGAGATTGTTACACACAAAATTATTGAGATAAAAATATGACTTTTTTTATTGACATGAACCTTTTGAGATGTGTAAAAGATAAGAAGAGAGGAATATGATTAGGTGGTGATGGGTGACTGGTCAATTGTTGTAAAAGTTTTGGTTGCAATGCCTAAGATAAAGATAAAAGAATGTAATAATGAAGGTGATGTCTAAAATTTAAGGATTGTAAAATAATGATAGAATAACTAAAAGTATTTTTCTAATATGGAAAATGATCCTCACAAAGAATTATACTCACATTGGCAAAAAAAAATTTAGAAGTCAAATATAATGAAATGCATCCTTTAACTTTAACTTTGTATCCAAGAGATACATTCCCTTACTTAAGGGTTCGACTTTTGTCTCCCTTATGAGAGTGTGGAAGCAAAGGTTAAGCAACCAAACATCCTTAAGTGTTTTAAATTTAGTGGTGTATGATGCAAAAACTCATATGGTGTTATGTGATAAAAAAAAATAGATGAAGACAATATGTTGATAAAGTGTACACCATAGTTGACTACATGAGGCCAAAATTTAGTTGGCATGTTGCTCTAAAATAAGAGTAG